CCGCAGCTCCCTCCCTCCCGCCCAGCAGGACCCCCCGCATGCCCGCCCACCTGTCTGTGGCTCCCTGGACAGCAGAGCAGACAGCTGCAGCCAAGCCAGGTAAGACATCCCCCGAAAATAAGACCTAATGTCTTTTTTCGTAGAAAAAAATAAAAATAAGACACTGTCTTATTTTGGGGGAAACACGGTAATAAAATACATTTATGGGGTGGTCCTGTCTTGCCTGGCATTCTCTGGGTTCACTGTGACTGGGATGGACATGTGGATGCCATGCTGGGGGCTGTGAGTACTCTGCTGGTTTGCTGTGGTCTCCGGTGGTGGCCAGGATACAGTCATGGTGGGCGGTGTACGAAAATAGATTTTTCTGTGGTGTCATGTGTAGGATGTGAGCTTGCATGTGATGATGCCCCTTATTTTCCTCTGTGTGCTGCTTGTACGCCTGCATTCTTTTCCCAGTCCTCATGTGATGCCTTTGTGTCCCTCTCGGAGGGGGCTGATGGCGGTTCAGTTGTGGCGTTATTTTTCGCAACTTTCCTATCTGTCTTGGATGTTTGTGTGTCACGGATCAACCGTGCTTTGGCTCTGAGGTCCCCTGACAAGCGTTGTTTGTATTTGCCTTCCTTGGTGTTTTTGGAGGATTCTGATAGGAGGAGACCTCTGCATTGGTGGACCGGTCAGCTCTGGGGATTTTACATTGGTGGACTCGGGCGCAGGGGACAAATAATCTGATCCTCTTGCCCTTCTAGTCGTGGATGTTGGAGAGTGAGGATGCTCCTAGTTTTTCTGTGGTTCCTCCGGGTCCTTTTGGTACTTATCAACCTAGGCAAAGGGTGTTGGTTCCCGTACTCTGTCTATGATGTTTTTCTATACTCGGGGTGGGTGCGCCCAAGTCCTTGTGGTGCCAAAAACGTTTTCTGTTTGCTACCCCTCGTGGATTATTTCCTACGTAGTGGGTGGTTCCATCTGTGGTGGACCTACAGATTTTGCACCTTACTACGACTTCTGTGGTCCCTGTTGACGATTCTCTGTCTTTTCAGGGTTACGCGGATGGGAGGGTGGTAGCTACCTCACGGACTATGTATACCCCGCTGGAACTTTGCTGATCCCGTTTTTAGTCCCAGACGTGGGGGCTCAGTACCTTAGAGTTGCCTGTGTTTGCTCCTGGCGCTCACTACTGAGCAAGTTGCTCCTGCCTGCTTCGAACTGGCCGGCCAGCAGGTGCAAGGTCGGTAGTACTTTTGCAACGCCTGGAGTGCAATTGACACCACTTTCATGCACTTGGTTACAAAGTTGTAGTTTTCTGTTAGTATGCTTTGCTGGTTAGTTCCATTGCTGTTCTGCTGCTCAAACCTCTAAGTCTGTGCTTACTGGGTTGTCCCTTACAGGGATCGCCTGTTCGATGCTACTCTGGTGCTATGTTCTGACGCTGCATGGGTATTTTGGGTAACGTGTTTGGCTCATGCTAGGACATACAGGATCAGTGTCACTTGTCTGGGCTTTCCTTTTCAGCTCTTAGGCACTTTATTCAGCCCTAAGGTTCTGCTAACAGAGGCGGTCGATCCCCCTCCTTGTCTGCTCCCTCGACTCTCAAGTGTCCCTGGCAGGCCGAGGCCTCCAGGGCTGGTGGCTGGCCCTCTTCCACATGCAGATTGGCCCCCACCTCTGATTTTCGGCTCTTTTCTCTTGCAGTTCTTTAGTTGTCTGGCATTTTGGACTCCTGGGGGTGGGCCTTGGTTCCTCGGGCTGCGTGATAGTTTTCTTGTTGGATGGACAGCTTATTCCTTCTCACACGCGACTTTCTCTGCAAGTGTGATCTGGATTCTGTTTGATCAAAAAAAATTGTGCCCCTTTGCCAGGGGGCTTTTTCCTGTGTCTTTTAACATCTGAGACGTTTTTCTGCATGGCCCGATCTATGGTTTTCACCAGCGTTATTTTTACGCTTCACAGTAGGGAGTCACTTCCTCAGTTCATGACCCTTCCTTTTGCCCTGGTGTCAGCCCCACAGGTATTTACCAAGTTCTGGCCCCGGGGGTTGCAGTTATCACAGCTCCAGGGGTTCTCGTTTGTGGGGCGTCTGGACGTCCTACTGCGATCAGGGGACGGTAAGGGGTTGGTGACCAGCCTTGCAATCACGATGAGGTCTCTGGAGGAGTTTGGGTGGCTCCGGAACTACCAGAAGTTCTGCAGTCCCCTTCTACATGACTGGAATTCTGGGCCTGGTCCTGGTCTCTTCCCAGGTCAGGGGTTGCCTCACTTTGGAATCATTTCAGAACCTTCAGTCTCAGGTCAGCCCGCTACATTCTCGCATGTGGGCATGAAATCACTTCTGCATGCAGGTACTGTGCCTGTGGTGGCCTCCTTCACAGCAGTTATTGTGCAACATCATGTCAGGCCTCTGCAGATGAATATCTTGTTGTTGTGGGCATGTCCCCCTCATTACTGGACAGGCCGTTAAGGACTGATGCGAGCCTCCTGGGGTCCTGGCCCACCCAGGGTCAGTGGTCGCCGGCGGAGCCTCGCCTGTCTTGTGTTGGTGCTCTGACATTTGGTTATCCCTACCACCCTGATCGTGTCGTATTCGGGGTCAGCCTTTATAGGTTCAGTCTGTCATCACCACGTCCGTGGCCTACATGACCTTTGTGGTGGTGCAATTGGCATGGCAGCTGTGCCATTCGTCTGGTTTCTGTCCGCGGTGTACATTTCGGGTGTAGTCATCTGACGGGCAGATTTTCTCAGTCGCTGGTCAGCGGGTCCTGGGGAGGGGTCCTTGCGTCCAGAGGTGTCTGTATACTCAGGAAGGCCTAGTTTACGTGGTGGCTTGTCGTGGGTCTTTTTACTCTGTTACTCGATTTTATGGCCTTTCTTCAGCGTGGGGTGGATCAAGTTGGCCTTGCACCCTGTCCAGGGTCAGGCAAAACCAATGTCAAACGCACTCATCAACTTATAACCAGCTTTAAAGCAAGGTGCACATGGAAGGGCTATACAACAGCAAAACGTTTCCCAGCACACTCACCAGCCAGCATGCAACAGAGGTTTTAGATACACGTCTTCTGCAGAATATGTGAAAGCTGCACTGCCTCGTCAAGGCACCTCTGTGTAGTGCGGTCCTAACTCTAACATATGAGAGTCTCCTAGGTTTTCAATACAAATTAGTAAACTAAATGTGAGATGGTAGTCCATCTTGGTAGTGAGTTTCAAGCGGTGCCTACTTTACAACACCCACGGGGACCATGGGAAACAAAAGTAGCCACCCTCCAAAAGGAAGGACAATGCTGGCACGAATTCAGAGGTGATTTGAGAATCTATAACAGAGTAATACACAAATATAGCTAGGGTACTTGAACGCATTTTTTAGATTTACCTCCTGAGTTTAGTGTCACTTTAAGGACAAGGTTCCTCCTTTTCCTGTTGGGTCACATTTTACTTGATCAGTTATTGCTTTTTGGGCTTTTCAACATCAGGTATCTGTTTCCCAGATTTGCAAGGCTGCCACCTGATCTTCTGTTCACACATTCCACACTTTCTAACAGGGAAATATTCAGACCTCAGCTGATGCCAGTCTCAGGCGTAAGGTCCTTTTAGGAAGCAGCTCTTTGATATGCAGGTTGTCCAGTTCTGTTTTAACTGGTTATCTGCAGCCTTTGGTATGTTAGCTGTGTTAACACACCCCTCTCCCTATTGGACTTTTGCGATGTCCCAGTTGTCTCTGAATATCCTATGTCCCTTAATGAATTAGGAAAATAGGATTTTTAACTTAACCATAAAAATATGTTTTTACCGTTCTTTAACCAGTTGCCGTCCGCCCATTGTAAAAAAAATGGACAGATGGCACTGCAGCATTGGCGGGTTGCTGCCTCCAGACGGCATTTTTTTTCTGCTCGCGCGCGCCCCCCCTAGCGGGCACGCACGGGCAAAAAAGACCCGACCAATGCAAACACGCGCTACCGGGTGTTTCACATATAGACGATTGGCGGCTCTATAGCCTGCCGATCGTCTATATGTGCTCGATTTCCCCCCTCCTGACCAATCACCTTCAATCCCGGGATCCGCTGCCCCATCTGCGGCCCGGGATCGGTTTGGGAGGGCATCAGGAGGAAGGGAGATCAGCTCCTTGCTGACCTCCCTCCGGGCTGTGAATGCAGAAGTGATGTGTATTACATCACTTCCGCATTCACCTGTCAGTCATCTGGCTGCTATAGCCAGAGAAAAGAAGCTGATGAAGCAGATCCCTGCTTCATCAGCTTCTTTTGGGGTCCACAGGTGACATTAGGGGTCATAGAGACCCCTAATGTCTCCATAAAGAGCACCTGTGTGCCTTAGATATTATATAGGGGGATTGTTATCCCCCTATATCAGTGGTTCATAACTCGTGGGTCGCGACCCAAAAGTGGGTCGCGACACCCTCTGCAGTGGGTCGCGGCGTCATGTCTGCATAGACCGGCCCATCTGCATTAGAGAGAACTAGAGGGAGAATTTGTATGCGCGCACGCAATTTTAAGTATTGACATGTTTGGTGTCTTTTTACCCGACGTGACCCCGTCTTTTATATTTTACCAGAAAATTGGGTAATAATAAATGTTTTATCATTTAATATAGGGGAAACAGTTATTTTTTTAATTTCAGTAATTTTTCCTTAATAAAGTAAAAAATAAAAAACCCAGTGGTGAATAAATACCACCAAAAGAAAGCTATATCTGTCCCCAAAAAAATGATATAAAAATCATTTCAGTACAGCGTTGCATTAAGGAAAAAATGTCAGTCAAAGTACCGCAGCGCTGAATACTGAAAAATGGCCTGGATGGGAAGGGGGTTGAACACTGCGGATGTCAACTGGTTAAAGGACTCGGGTCCCTCCCCTTTGTCTTATAAGAGACTCTTCTGTTTCTGTCCTGTTGATGTGATTGGGAGGGGTTGATTTACCTGACTGACATTTTTTTTGCCTGTGTCCAGTTGTTCTGTAAGCAGTGATATAACCCAGATGTTTCTGAATATCTTTTGTCCCTTAATGAACTCCAAGAAAGGAATTTACAAGCAAGTCAATTTCTGTTTTACTACCTGGTTACCAATGTCCTGCCGCATGTCTGATTTATGGACTATGTTTATTCCTGCAGGTTGGGCTGTTTGATCGTTTATACACCTACCAAATGAGAGAGCTTGTCATGGCAACTCGGCTGTTGCTTTGTGAACATGCTGAGAAACTGTCAGCTGCAATTGTTCTGAAGAATCATCACACTAGGTTCCCTAATCTGGTTAACTCTGCTATACAGCTGGCACTGAACAAAAGAATGTGTTCTGTTTCACAAAACCTTACTGCTGCTGATGTCTACTTTAGAGAGGTAAGCCATTATCCTTCATATAATTTTCTTTTTTTTAATCTAGATTAGATAAAGGTCCAGGGTTTCCACAATGATTAACAGTGTTGTAATGGGAATGGTAAAAATAAGTAAAGGCGGTAATTCACTAAGAACAGTAAAATTATTTGAACATATATTATAAAAATATGATCTGCATACCCACCCAAAGTCAATAATATGGTAGTTGTGTACCAGGGAAGCAACTACAAATCATTGGGCCCTGTAAGAAAAATTTGATAGGGCCCTTTTAGCTAACTCTCTCTGAAGTACCTGACATTGTTAACTGTGATATAAGTGTCATAGATTGTATCATAAAATATGCTTAATCCAAGGACAGACAGCAGGAGAGGTGTCCGCAATTATAGTTGTGGTAGCAATAATAATAACTATAATATTTTATATTACGGCCACATTTTTGATGTTCCTGCACATCTCTATAATGCTACTACTAACATCTTAAAAACACTAGCTTTTTTAAACCTTTTTTTTTTAAGAACTACAAACCTCAGTTGTCCTAGGAGGTGTTTTTTTTTTAAATCTTTTTTTAAAAGGACAATGCCATATAAAAATAGTAAACTAGCAAAAGAACCACAAGACAAGCAAATAAAACTTGAGTCAGTGATACAACGGCAAACAACCACAAATAGAATAGATAATTGAAAAAAATAGCAATACTCCAGAAACCAACCAAAATAAGACATAGCTACAGGGAACTCAAGTACCCATTGTGAAGCCATCAGACTGTAGTAAGCACCCAGGCCTAAACTTGAGAAAAAGGAGAAAACATCAACTGGAGTACGGCTAAAGAGCAGAATGGTCATTCAGAGATAGCAGGAAAAGAGAAAAAAGAGAGCAGCAGTGGGGAATCAGGAAAAGACACTGTCCGTACACAGAACCTAGGGTGTACCAGAGGATATGGAATCAGGAGGACATCAGAGCACGATCTTCCAGAGAATATATAAAGTCTAGCCAGTAAAACCAGGCTTTGCGTAATTTGTTCTCGGTATGATGTAGTGTTGCAGTCAATTCCTCCATGACCCTCAAATTGGCAACCTTTTGGAGCCAAAGTTTGAGGCGGAGGATCTGTGTGTTTCCAAACCAAGGGTATCCAAGCCCTGGCAGTGTTCAAATGAATAAGTAGAGATCGCTGATATTGGGCTTTGAGGAGACATTTGAAGTAGCAGAGCCCCTGGGTTATCAGTTGCACCCCTGTCAATTGCTGAATAATGAGAAGGATCAAGTCCCAAAACGCTCTCAGATGAGGGCAAGACCAGAAAATGTGCAGAATTGTGCCAGGCTGCTGACCACATCGCCAACACAGCAGAGAACATTGAGGAAACATCTTCTGTAAAGTGGTCGGAAAATAGTACCACCTGGTGAGAACCCTTTCCCCCGACTCTGGATTGTGCTGGCAATCGAGGCCTTGTTAGTGAAATGTAAAATGTAATCCCTTTGCTCAAGGGAAAAGGTAACCTCTAAGTCACTTTCCCATTTCGAGAGTAAATAGAAATAGAGCAGGAGAGGTAACCAGAAGGGCATGGGCTTTTGACAGACAGGCCGTTGCATGGCCAGCCACCTTAGCAATGGCGGGAAAGTCCATGTCAGACAAGTCCTGGAGTGTCGGGACACCCGCTGAAGACCAAAAATTTGCTGAAAGAAAAGCAATAAACAGCCTATCGGACCAGGAGGGTAAAGATTGTTGCCGATGATTGGAGTCATCAGCTAAGGCCCCAAAGAAAGCAGGCCTGGAATTTTTTTGAATCACTCGGATCGTACACCCAATAGTCCATGGTCTCTCTAGGGAGCGTATTTAGGGCCCAAAGCACACACAAGGTTAGTGGGTAAAGTGGCCTGTTGTAATGAAAGCCAACGCTTGTCTGAATCAGCAGCATACCATTTGAAAACCCTCACCATGTGGACAGCCAGATGATATTTGATGGGGTCAGGGAATCCCATCCAGCTACTTTGGGAGAGCCAAGAGGGTTCTTTTCAGCCTGTGGGCACCCACAGACCAATGAAAGTATGTGAACTCCTGCCTCACCCTTTTCAGAAATGCTATCGGGATATGTATCAGCAATGTTTGAAGAAGTTATAACAGTCTAGGGATAACATTCATTTTTAACACACTGTTCCTCCCAAACCAAGAGAGAGTAGGTTTTGACCAAGTAGAAAGATCTTGATGGATTTTTGCCAGGAGAGGGGGGGATGTTTGCTGCAAATATTTTGTCAACTTGGGGGGTAACTTTAGTCCCCAGGAACGTAATATGACCAACAAAATGAAAAAAAAAAAAAACAGTTTGAAGGTGGGTAAGTTGAGCAGCAGGTACCGAAAGGTTCAATGCCAAAATGTCCAATGACTTTTGAAGGTTAATTGTAAAATTTGAGCGGTAACCATATTCTAACACCTCGCGCATAAGGTTGGGTAGGAAAATTGTGGGTTTGGTAATAAGAAAAGAGTAAATCACCTGCTTATCCAGCAATCTTATGCAAAAGGGGACCCTCCAGAAGCCCAGAGATATCAGGGTTGGTGTGAATCCAACAACGAAGGGGCTCCAGTGAGAGAATGAAGAGCAGAGGTGACAGAGGGCACCCTTGGCGACAGGGGGCGGCGACCATTGGTGCCCGGGGCTGCATGTTCCCTTGGACTGTTAAGGGGTATGTGCATTGTGTTTACAAAGGCAGGAGTCGATCGGCAGCTGGACATTCTAGGAAGTCTGCGTGTCAGCTGATACAGGTACAGGGGTCACGCGAGGTCATGTTGGTGTCAGACCTTGGGGGGTGAATTGGTACCATACAGGTGGTAGCTACAAGGGCTGTTGGGGGGGATGGTTGAGTGGTTGTCTTTGCACGCACATTTTGTTTATGTTTTCGGCTGTAGAAGCATCAGGGCTGACAGTCAGCCCACACCATTCGTGCATCATTACAGCACATAGCAAGCTTGCACACAGTCGGTTACGGACTGGTATATTTGGTTGCATACAACGGACGCACTGAGGATAGTGGATTGTATTCATATATGTTAGTTCCTCAGGCTCATTCATACTTCATACGATCGATCGACACATACTGATTGTTATATTTGGGGGCGGGCCACATGCCTCACTGATGGTAGGCACAGCATATACCGGATCGAGAGGGGTGCCACACGGCAGGGCAGGCACAGCGGCACGTTGGTCAAACCGCACGTGGTGGTCATGTCGCACGTGTCTGAGAGCGAGGAGTTCGCGTCACTACCACCGTCGCCAGCCAGAGGGTCGGAGCAGGGTAGTGCTCCATCTATTAGGGCATGGACCATTCCGAAACTCGTGTTGGAGTTGCAGAAGAAAGGCATCCCTTTCTCGGCCACAGAGAGGAAAGCTGAATTGTTTAAGCTACCGTCACCTGCGCCCGCTGCAAGCGTTTGTTCGGAGCGGATGTCAGGTCGGACACTGGACACTTCGCTTACGCAGATTCATGCAGCTTTAAACGTGATTACCACCTCGTTGCACGACTTGCAACAGAGGATGGAGAATGTGGAGAAACAGGGTACTTCGGTGCCGGCGGCGGTGACGCAGGGTACTCCGGGCGCGGCTCTGGTTGTTCCAGGGACTTCCAGCTCTCAGGGGGTCGCCAATGCAGGTACAGTGGTTTCTCCCCCCTATATTACACCGGCGCATTTTGTGCCGGCTAACCTCAGGAAGGAGATACTTGAGGGCAAGGACGTGAATCTGGTGTCGCTTCTTATAGCGTCGCATGATGTGACTGACAACAAGTCTTTTGCGTGCGGAGATGTATCCGTCATCTTAAAAGCGAGAGACCCCAGACTGAACCGCAAGTTGTCGGTTTCAGAGTTTGTTTTGGCATTCGGCACCTACAGAGATGTGGTGTGCTCGGCGAGCCCCAACAGAAGGGAAGAACTAGACATGTACTTGCATCTGGTAGTGGACTTGGCGCACAAATACGGAGGGAGCGTGTTTTACGACTACCAGCGGGCGTTTTCTGCGAAAGCAGCAGCAGGACTGGCACAGTTCCAGTTTGTTTCAAACTGGGGCAGGATGGACACTGAACTGTTTTGCAGGCACTTCGCGGGGCTCAAGGCGCCGGTATGCTCTATCTGTCAATCTTCTGCGCACACGGCAGATTGGTGCCCCACTCCAGCGCTGGCAGATTGGGCCACCTCGGTAAAGCCGATTCAAAATACACCTTTTCTTTCAACAGAAACCAGACCCAGATGCATTCGCCACACCTGTGCCGTCCTTCCATCATCTAGTGTTGGACTAGAGAGACAACAGCACCACGCAACTAGACTCATTAACGACTCTCTCTCAGTTAATACCAGCAAAGCGTACAGCTCTGGCTGGAAGGCGTTCAGTCTTTTCCAGATGCGTTATGCCACTCAAGATCCTGGCGATATGGCGTATATTCTAGCCTTCATTGCGTATTGTCACACGGATTTGAAACTCGCGTACAATACCATCAGATTGTACTATGCTGTCGTACAACATTTCATAGCTCTTTCCCAACCAGATAGACAGTCGTTTTCCGCTCACCCCATCAGAGCCATACTCAAGGGGTTACAGAAAGCAGGGAAAGAGGCAGTTAGCACCCGGTTGCCCATATCCAGCAGCATGTTCAGGGCAATGTCCGGCATGTTAGACAGAGCTCCGTTCGGGGCCTTACAATGCTTGGTGCTAAAGGCATCCATATATCTTGCTTTTTACAGGGTTTTTTTAGGCCTGGAGAATTTACACGCCCCCGAGTTAATGCCAGCATGCTCCGTAGGAGTCAGTTAATTCGGTTTCCAGGGCATTATGTGTTACGGCTCGTTAGGAGCAAGACCAATCAGGTGGGGGCTCCCACCGAGATCAAGTTGTTTCCTTCAGCAAATGCATGGTGCCCTATGGAGGTTCTGGATTGTCTCATGTCCGGGTTGGGGGAGGCGAAGGAAGACAGTCCTTTGTTGCCTTTTCCGCATAGTCCCCTTTCAGCTAGTCAATTTATTT